GCATCAAATATTTTTTTTTTTTGACATCACATGAATTTCATACCAAGCCAATCAAAATGAATCATCTAGTCTAATTTTAAATCAATCTAATATTAAAAAAAAAGTTAAATTTAAAAAATCAAGTAAGAAAACAAATAAAAAATAGCGTGTTGAGAATGACATCACACATGCCACATTTATAAATAAATAAAAAAAAGGAAAAGGAAAAAAAAAAAACAATGTGCTACTTGGTTGGTTGACCAAAAACTTTTATCATCATTGTACTGGATAAATAAAAATAATTATTTTAATAAAAACAATTTACTTATGTTGATATAATGCCACCAAAAATAGATAGTTATAATAGGGGAGAAATGGATTATCAAACTAGCATAGTTTGATAAAAGTTTTGAAAAATATCATAGGAGAAAAAAGATTTGAGAAATAGCATGGTTTTGACTCAATTACTATTAAAGAACATGATTTTATTAACAACTACTAATAACAATAATAGTTTTAAACAATCACTATTATTGTTAAAGGTCATTTAGGATTGCTAAACAAACACTAACAAGAATAGTGATCGAATAGTGATCGTATCTTAAACTTAATTTCCATATAAAATTAAGTTTAAACCACCACAATCAAAAACGAAACAAAATCATAAATTATCAAAGCTCAAACCTATAATTCAAAATGTGATATTTTAACATTATTTTTATTTGTTAATTATGATTCCAAATCAATACATGTAGTTTTTTTTTTAAAAAATTATTTATGCTTTGTTTTAAATTGTTAATAAATGATTTGAAACTTTAAACAACATGTTCATAGGTTTATTTGTTTTTTGATGATATTAAATCATGGTTGTACAAATCAATTATAGAAATGCATAAGATAATTTAAAAATCAACATGACAATTAACAAAAACAATATTACAGAAATAATAATAATAAAAATAACTATTGATTAGAAAAATAACACAACATAATTATACATAATCTAATAATATATTTGAGGTCATCTATATCTTATACGATAACGAGTGGATGAACCAGCTTCATCAATAGCACGACTTCCACCTGTCTTTATAGTTTTATCATGTGAGATAACATCATCTAGGCTCGATGTCTCTCCTAATAGGTCAAGTAATACAACATGTCTCAAACCAAAAAGATGAATAACAATGAACAAATCTATCATTATCATCATCATCTTTAAGATCATAAAGATTAGTAGCCAAATATTGACTATTGTATGAAAATTATCCAACCTAATATGAAGCAAATAGAAATTATTAATTCATGAATAAAATACAATTTTTTTTATGATAAGTAGACTAATTATTACAAACATGTCATTAAATCCAGTATCACGACCAAATTTTGGAATTGTAAGCCTCGTCGTCATCATCATTTGATATTCCAACTAAACTCCTGACACCCTCATTTTCATCATTACTAGAATTGAATGAGGCATGCCTACACTGATATAATATGTAGTTTTAATTCTATTTTTATCACAAAATCTCATAATTCTATCTTCCAATGTCCTAGATTTATAAGCACTAGTTGAATGTGATAATTGTCTAAATGGTAGAACATGTGTGGGCATAAATATATTAGTATCTACATGCTTCATATTATATGAGCTACTAAGTTTAGATCGGCTACTTATATACAACTCTATTATGTTCGTTTCACTTTGGACGAGCATTTACATCATGTTTCTAAAATCAACATCATAAGCAATCAATATTGAAAAATATTGATGTTCCCGAGCAAGACACCTCAAAGTGATATATATTTCAACATCATTATAATTTAACTTAAGTCTTTCACATATAACTTTTTTAGTGCATTACTAGGATTGGATGAGGCATACCTACATTGATATAATATGCAGTTTTAATTTTATTTTTATCACAAAATCTCATAATTCTATCTTCCAATGTCCTAGATTTATAAGCACTAGTTGAATGTGATAATTGTCTAAATGGTAGAACATGTGTGGGCATAAATATATTAGTATCTACATGCTTCGTATTATATGAGCTACTAAGTTTAGATCGGCTACTCACATACAACTCTATTATGTTCGTTTCACTTTGGACGAGCATTTACATCATGTTTCTAAAATTAACATCATAAGCAATCAATATTGGAAAATATTGATGTTCCCAAGCAAGACACCTCAGAGTAATATATATTTCAATATCATTACAATTTAACTTGAGTCTTTCACATATAATTTTTTTAGTATCTTCAAATGACATACCTCTAATACCGTTCGCTAATACAATACTTTTGTCAATATAAATTATTTTATTATTTGTATCATGAATAATAATACTATCATAATGATACAATATAAATTTTTTTTAAGACATTATGTAAAATAAAAATATTCATTTCATTAAAAGCAAATTATCTTACAATTCGATACAAGATAAAATATTACTATACAGAGCATGACAATAACAATAAAACCATAATTAATTGCAAAAATTCAATTACAATAATTTTACAACTTATCAATTAAACACTTTTTACAATTAAAAATTAAATTATAAAATTGAATATTAATTAAAAAGTAAATGATCTCAATTAAACATAATCTACAATTATAAAAATTTATATAAAAATTCAAAGCAAGCTCTAGTTTCTATGATTTTGACAATAACTTCATTAATAAAATCAATTGATTAAAAGTCTATCTAATTGCATCAATTAAAATAATATAATTAAATACAACAACTAACCTAATAATCAATTTAAACCATAATTTCTCTAATTCAAATCTAATTGATTTCATAAATAACATCAATTGTATTAATATCACACAATTGCAACATTCAAAATTTAAAATAATATAATTATCAAACATAACATAAATTCTTAATTATCAAACACAACACAAATACTAAATTAAATCAAAATACGGAATTTATTAATTCAATAATTAAACCCATCAACCTAACAGGCAATGCAAATATCTTACCTTGTTTTTATAATGCGTGGGTGGCCAATAGTGGCAGTTGTGGTTTTGGTGGCAACGGTTTGCAACAAAAGAATGATAGAATTACTCGTAAGGATAATGGAAAGATGATTACGGTGTTTTGACCGAGGATTGAATAATATTTTGAGTGATTTGAAGGCTTTTTTCTCGGGTTTTTTTCTCTCAAGATTATAAGATTTTTTTTCTCTTGAGAACAATTACCATTGAGAAATAGAGTTCCGCTTATATACACATCCTAATTATGTTTTTGAATTGTGGTTATCTTATGAAACTAGTATTCTAAATTGTGGCTATTAAAGAATCGTTGTTGTAAATAGTGGTTCTTTAACAACTGTAATTCAAAATAACAGTTTTTATCTCAATGGTTTTTTTAAAATAATAATTTTTAATTCAAAATAACAGTTTTTATCTCAATGGCTTTTTTAAAATAATAATTGCCATTTAAAATAGTAGTTATATAAAGAAATTATACTATTTCTTTAAAAAAATTTAAAACATGCAATATCTTCTTGACTTTTTTGAAACTATGTTACATTTATATCATATTTGTTTTATAAAATATGGTTTTATGAAAATTATTTTTTAAATTTTTTTATATTTGTTTATGATTAAAAAAATTAATCAATAAAAAATATTTTATAATCAAATAAAAATTTATCTTAATTTTTTTAAAACTAATTTTTTATTTTAAACAATTTGTTTTTTTTTTTTTTAAAAAAAAACTACAGTTTAAAACACTATCCTAAACTAATAAGAAGACAACCTTAACCAAATAAAAGTCACCGTAAGGAGTGGCTGTGGCTCTCTCTGAAACTGGGAAAAATAAAGGACGTACTCCTTGGTTTCTCGTGCACGAAAAGGATAAATATCAAATTTCTCGACGAAAATACCCCTATACCCCCATGTGCACAACGCATTATAAAAATCACTTTTGTCCGCACCCTCTAACAGCATCAGTGTCTCTACGTGGACGGCTCTCGAGAACCCGTATTACTTTCTCCGATTGGATGAACATCACATCACATCACAGACTCCTACCCAATCATGTTGGTCCATGTATCAGTTGACAGCTGGCCCACTAAACAATTATTAAGTTTTCTTTACCCAAATATTTATGCGAACCCGATTGTTAAATCCGGGTTTTGTTCAGCTCTTCAACCTTTTTATATTAGTTTATATTCGGATGGATCGAAAATAACAGTAAATTGGCTACTAGAACAAAGCTCGTTAATTTTTTTTTTAATATAACATCAAAAATATAATATAAACTCAAAAATTATAAAATTACAAGCAAAGTTTTAACTAATTTTATATTAATAATTTCAATCAAGTAATAAATAATAATATAATATAATTAAAACAAAAATGAAATAAATAATAATAAAAATTTAAACACTTTAAAATATATTTAAAACTAAAAATAATGAGGTAATTGGTCGATAAGTTATTTATATAAAATAAAAAAAAATATTTATTTTATAATTTTTATAAATTTAATCTAATTTTATTAATTTTGCAAGAATAAAGTCCAATTTTACTTATTTTTAATTTTTAATTTGATTTTGCATATTAATTATAATTTATTTGTAAAATTATATAATTTATCAATAAACTAACGATTTTGGCAATGATATTGATTCTATTATTGTTACATGTTTGAAAAATTTAAAATTATAAAATTGATTATAAATAATAAGCTCAATTTAAATATAGAAGAAATTAGTTCAATCTTAGGAAAAAAATGATTCTAAAATAGAGATGAATCTCCTCCAAATTTAATTCAAAATTATAAAATCAACTATAAATAATAAGCTCAATTTTAAATATAGAAGAAATTAGTTCGATGTAAGAAAAAAAATGATTTTAAAATAGCGATGAGTCACCTCCAAATTTAGATATATATATTTTTTTAATAAATGCACTGGTCTATAAATAGTTTACCTACATTTTTGTTAATTAGTTTCTATGTGGGGGATTTACCCTTTAAGAAGATATATTAAACTCATCCATGCCTTGAGGGTTAGAAACAGCAAAAAACAGAGAGAAAAGACAGCCGACACTTGGCGCATCCAGGAAGCCCTAAAAAAAGCGAAGAAGAAGGAAAGAAAGAAAAAATTGGAAACGCAAGACACCAAAACAAGAGGAGAGGGTGAATTCCAAAAAAAAGCAGAGCATAACAGATAGAAATACAAGCGCAAAACACAGGTATATTACTTATTATTCATTTGCTCTCCTCCCCCTCCTCTCTCTCTTATTACTTCACTTGTATTTATTTTGTGTTAATTACAGATATAATTAACAAGGCAGGGCAGTATCAATTTCTTCTGCTTTAACATTTGTTATTTTATTTTTATGAAGCAGCTTTCATTTTGCATGGTTTAGAGTTTTTAGTTTTCTTTTTGCCACTTCTGTATCATTATTTTTTCTGCTTCGTGTTTACTATCATTATTTTTAGAAAAATAAAAAATTCTTTTGAAGTTTTTTTTTTTGGTTCATAAAATATCATCATGGGATTGGAAACGCAATGAAGTTAGGGTTCTGAACTTCTTTTTTTTCCGGATTTAGTTATCAAATTCTTTAGCTATTTTGACACTGTTTTATCCAGAAATTCAGAGAATGGGGACGAATTTCAACTTCAAGAACTTCTCAAATGACCCGTCAGATGCCGTTGGTGGCCGGCCACCGGGGAATTCTCCGCTGACCAGACAGTCATCGATCTATTCGTTAACTTTTGACGAACTTCAAAACACAATGGGAGGATCATTAGGTAAGGACTTTGGGTCAATGAACATGGATGAGCTGTTGAAGAATATATGGAGTGCAGAGGAGACACAGACCATAGCAACAGCCACCTCTACTGGGGTCCAAGAGGGTGGTGCTCTCCAGCGTCAGGGCTCGCTGACGCTGCCGCGGACGCTGAGTCAGAGGACGGTGGATGAGGTCTGGAAAGACATGTCAAAGGAATATGTTATTAACGGGACTAGTGCTGGAGCTGCTAATAATGTGCCCCAGAGGCAGCCCACTTTAGGAGGGATGACTTTGGAGGAGTTTTTGTTGAGAGCTGGGGTGGCGATAGAGGATATTCAAGTGGCTCCAAAGGTTAATACTAATGGTGGACTTTTGGGTGATTTATCACGGTCGGCCAATAATAGTTTAGCGATTGGTTTTCAGCAGAATAGGGGTGTAGGATTGGATAACGATAATACTAATCAGATCTCTTTGCAATCGTCTAATTTGCCTTTGAATGTTAACGGTGTTAGATCAAATCAGGCACAGGTGCAGCAGCAGCAGCAGCAAATATTTCCTAAGCAGCCTAATATGGGATATGTGACGCAGCCCAATAACGATAGTACTAATCAGATCTCTTTGCAATCGTCTAATTTGCCTTTGAATGTTAATGGGGTTAGATCAAATCAGGCACAGGTGCAGCAGCAGCAAATATTTCCCAAGCAGCCTAATTTGGGATATGTGACGCAGATGCCTTTACAAAGTGGTCCTGGAATTAGAGGTGGAATGTTGGGGATTGGAGATCAAGGAATGGATAGTGGTTTGATGCAGGGTGGAGGGATGGGAGTGGTTGGATTGGGAGGTATCGCAACGGGGTCACCTGCGAACCAGCTGTCATCAGATGGGATTGGGAAGAGTAATGGGGATACATCTTCTGTATCTCCAGTGCCTTACGTATTCAGAGAAAGTGTAAGGGGAAGGAGAGCGGGTGGTGCTGTTGAGAAGGTGGTTGAGAGGAGGCAAAGGAGAATGATTAAGAACAGAGAGTCAGCTGCAAGGTCTCGTGCTCGCAAGCAGGTGATTATCTTGTTTGTTATTTTATATATCATCTATTGATTTATACATTTAGTTCTTGATTTTATTAGGTCAGTTTGCTGCAAATTCGATTTCAGTATAGTGGTTTGAAATCTGTTCTTGATTTGAAACTTTGCATTAATTTAGTAGCAAGTTTGATATCTTTAAGATAAAAAGAATGTGTGGAAGCATGTACAATGGTTCTTTTACACTGCACCAAACTAGAGGAAAGCCGATAATAGGTTATTAGCCATGTTTTATTGACTGAAGTTCTTAGACACTTGATAAGTGCCCATATAGACAAACTTGCTGTGCAAAAGAGAAGAAAGGACACCGGTTCATTTACAATGAACCAAACTAGAGGAAAGCCATTAATAGGTTATTGGCCACGTTTTATTGACTCAAGTTCCTAGACACTTGATAAGTATCCATATAGACAAACTTTCTGTGCAAAAGAGAAAAAAGAAGAATGACTGTGATATTTAGGTTTTCATATCTAAGTTGTTTTGAAATATTCCATCTTGACACTTGTTGCGTGTCAGCAAAAATTAAGAAAGAAAAAACAATCACAAGTTTCTTCTTCTTGTGGTTCATGAATTTTGCTGGCCATTAACCTTCTACTTTTATCATCTATGGCCTCTGCGCTTGCCAAAACACCATGAAAGATTATGGGGCAGAATGGTAATGTGATAGCGATCTGACATGACAAGAGATGAAAGTTTTTGAGAAGTCAAGGTCATGAGAAGTTATAAAGATCCAGTTTGTTACAAGGTAATGGAACATTTGTTTTAAGGATCACAACATGAATTTGAACTTGTATTGGGCCAAATTCAACAAACGTTAATTAAGAGCTGAACACTTTTGACTTATTTTGAATCAAAATATTATACAGAAACATAGGTAGATATTTTTAAAATAGAGTGTGTTGGATTATTACTTTTTAGCATGTGCTCAATGTATACTTTTTTTTCTCATTTTGGTTTTTACCAGGCTTATACCATGGAATTGGAAGCAGAAGTGGCAAAGTTAAAAGAGGAAAACGAAGAATTGCGGAAGAAACAGGTATTTTAGCTTTTGTCACTCACACAATTATTTGTTCCTGCCATTTCACACCCACCCACTCAAGGTATCAGTGTCTGTTACAAATTCAAAATTTTTGTATTTACCGGTCATTGATTGTGGGTTGGTTACTGCAGGCGGAAATGATGGAAATACAGAAAAATCAGGTGCTAAATCTTTCTAGTGCTCTTTCCATTGAGCGGAAAATAACGAATAATCTTGCCTGTTTGCTCATAGCATGTCTAACGACTATTCAATGCTCCTATAAAGTCTGCATGTATTTTCCCACCTTTTTCTTTATTACAAAAAATGTCCATGCTTAATGTCAATAAAAGGAGGTACATCTTGTGTGCGTCTGTGTGTACAAACTCTGTAATTGCTTGTTCTATGGTTACTTGAAAGCATTGCAAATATAGTGCCTTCAAGTTATGGGCCATTAATTGTCTTTACTTATTTTGTGGTAAAAAAAATCTCATCAATTTGTAAGTTGACTGATTATAGTTGCATGGCAATTCATTAAATATCATTGCCTTGAAAAGAGAAAAGAACATTATTTAATTTATTATATTACAAACTGTTAAATATATTTACTTATTATATTGTAATAATTTGTTTTATCATTTTGTAATTTAACTAATTTCACCATGATTGTGATGATTACAAATGATCAATTATAATCTTGACAAAAAGAGTATCCTTGTCATCTTAGAGAAGAAAATAATACTATTTATTTCCTAAAAGGTTATTTTTAAGTGATTATAAATTAATGAGTACTTGTATTTAATGTAATGTAAATCTTATCTTAGTACTTCGTAAATTTTAAGACGCTATAATTAAAGTTCCTTTAGATAACAATAGCAAGCATATTCGTAAATGATGGTCTCCTGAGATATTTTCTCCTTGCTTGAACAAAATGGGAGAAATGGAATGCCTTAAATAAGGATCATTGATGCAAGTGCTTCTTACCTTTTTTTCAAATAGGAGCGATGATCAGGAGTATCACTTTTGACTGTGCTTTCTACTTGCTAATTTTCTGTAACTACGTCAATTGTCAACTTCTTTTTGTGTGCCACAAATCTTGATGCAATACTGATATATAACGTTGTGGTCTTAAGAAATCTCTAGTGTTTAATGAATATGACAAACCAGCGCTGCAGCTTATCAATGAAATAACTATGATCAAGCATGCACCATCCGATTTGCCTTATACTTTTCCTACAAAAGCTGGACAATGTACATTGCTGGGCATTTCAGTTGTGGAAATCATTGCTTCCTACTGTGATAGCATTTGGCGTTTCTTGTGTTTCTGTTAAGCAGTGTGTCTCTCCAATTGACATTTATAATTGTTGCTTAATGTACTTTTTGACAGTAACCACGCAGACACTGAGGTCTTCTTGATTTTTCTCCATTTGGTGGTGTTACAGGTCGCGGAGATGATGAATATGCAGCAGGGGGGTAAGAAACGGTGCTTGAGACGAACTCAGACAGGTCCATGGTGAATTGAAAGCGTTTTGTGATTATCCCCGTTGAAAATCATGTATGGTAGGTGACTGTACATATTTAATGGAATTGTGTTTTCATTAAATGGAGAAGATACGAATTTTACAGTGAGAAGATCCGGAGGTTTACTGTGATGTAAATCAAACCTTCCAATATGTACTAACTGTGCTTGCATCTCTTCTGAACTTCTTTGATAAGTAATTAGATTGGCAAATGCATTTTGTGTTGGTGACCATTTTATCTATGTTTCGCGCAGTGTTGTATTTGGGTTTTCTCCTCTCATAACGATCCCTTTTTATTTTTCTTTGTATTGATTTTGAATCATTGAGGAGGAGATGTATGTATAAAGCCTCACCCAGTCACTCGTTTTCTTCATCCATGTGGATAACAGTGGACTTCTGAGATGTTAGCAGGTATTTACATCATTAAAGTCAAGTCAACGAGCACTATTGTACATGGCAAACAAATGAAAATTAGAGTAGCAAGATGGGGCCTGTCAGTCTGATTGCCTTTTGCGTTCTAGGCAAATCTCTGTACCATCTGAGCCCTGATTCTAGGGTTAGAACTGGAAATTCAAAGCCAACTGGGAAGTAATCGATCTGGGAAGCATGCCTCAGATGCCTTGGCAACATTATGATAATCCCAGTCTCAAGGAAGTTCGGCTAATCTCGTGTTTAACGAGATGCATGAGTAAACTAATAATCCTCTAGCCTCGCCATGCCATTCAAAGACACCATTCATAATCCGAGCCACACGAAATCATTTGCAGAACTGGCCTGGTTCAGAACTAAACCTTCCAGATTTTCTTGAAGCGACGAGGTTGCACAAATATTTGCATGTTTATATCAAGTTTATACCATGAAATTCTCGACTCCTCAGTATCTGGGAAATCACAACATTCAGCTCCTCAGTTGGAAATTAATCATCCGCAGACAGCACATGCAACGCCGTGAAATTCCTACTTCGGTGTCCCTAGATCGACAATGAATACTACACAACAACCCCTTGCAGGGAAAAGTAACTCCAGAATTCCTGGATATGGGGCGTATAGAAAATCCATCAATTTACAACTTATTTATAAATGTGAGTGTAGTTTTTTTTAAAAATATTTTTTTAAATTATTTTTAAAATTAACCTATTAAAATAATTTAAAATATATAAAAAATTAATTTTTAATAAAAAAAATCTATTTAAAAATGTTTGTGGTTATTTTTTTAAGTACTTTATATATTTATATATATATATATATCAAAATGATATATTTTTTATTTTTTTAAAATTATTTTTGATATTAATGTATCAAAATAATCTAAAAACATCAAAAAAAACCTAGGCCCTGGCCAACCTGGAGCTAAAACCAGGCCATGTTAAAGAAAAAAAAGAGGAAGGAAAAACCCGGTGTAACTTGGTAGATTGATTCTGCAAGACCTAGTAAAAAACTCGGTTATAATCCATTAATTTTTATTTTTCATATTAAAACGATATTATTTTGATTGAAAAAAATTAATTTGAATGATTTAGTGACCCGATTATAACCTGGGGGCTAAAACCAGGCCATGTTAAAGAAAAAAAAGAGGAAGGAAAAACCCGGTGTAATTTGGTAGATTGATTCTGCAAGACCTGGTAAAAAACTCGGTTGCAACCCATTAACTTTTATTTTTCATACTAAATCGATATTGTTTTAATTTAAAAAAATTGATTTGAATGATTCAATGACCCGATTATAACCTAAAACCTAGAATTTAAACCGTGCTGGCCACCGTACTGGGTTTGAAAACTATAATTTGGGGTGCCCATTCTGCCTACTCTATTCACATCCCCCGGAGGCAAAGGTAATATCACCTCCCTCAAATACTTAATCCTGGCTCCAGCAGAAAGGTAGCAGCAATAGTTTCTGGTGGTCATTTCATCTGCATGCCCTGAGATTCTATTGCTAGTATGGGTAGCCAGAGGTGCATGCCATGTCCTTCCAGGATATCATCTTCCTGCGATCCCTACCTCTAAATGATCTAGCAAGAAGACTACCACTAACAGGTTTACACAAACCAACATCAACAGCAGAAGAACGCTTTGCGACAACAGAAGTACATTTTGCCCTTGGAGATGCCCCATCCATGAAATAGTCAAACAACATTGCAAGATAGCGCACTTGATGAGCTAAGACATGATTTTCTTGATCCAAAGGTAGCAGCTTTAATATATAAAGATTGACCTGCAGAACAGCAACGGGAAACATGAATTTGTAGTCCTTCAACAAGGAAACTGACGCCACATTTGAAACAAACGACACAATAAGAACACTGAAAATAAAGACAATTAGGAGGCTTAACATGAACATGATAAATCACCAGGATGCAACTCTTTCTTACATTAATAGTGAATTGGTTGCAGTTGACTTTCCAAGTAGATTAGCATTCAAATACCCTAACAACTCGTAAGGTAGATGCACCATATGAAGTTGTTCTTTAAACAAGGCTGGACAACCACTAAATGTCTGCAACAATAATCTACCAGTGGTAATATTCTGTATTATAATTCTGATGTCTTAGTTTATTTTGTCTCGATCTGTCTCCAAGGTAAAAGCTAACTATTTATTTTGAAGGAGTAAGCTTAACATCATTCACAGCAGACGCAGCAGCGATTAGAGACCCCATCTTCCCCAACACTCTCTGATCTTCCGTCCATAGTGACATGTATTGGTTCCTGAAGTTGATTTGTATCAATGACAGGCAAAGTTGAAGCCTGATGATGTTTCTTTTTTTCGGTTGGGGGGGGCGCGCTGTAGGTGACCGGCCATGCAAATAGCATAAAGGCGTAAACTCACAGAAAACTTTCACAATTCAGAGCAGGCCATTCCAGCTGTTCCCTGTAAGCCAATCAAAGAATGCCGACTTTTCAACCCAAAGCATACCTTACCACAATGACAAACAAGACAACAAGGGAGCCACAGAATGAGAATTAATACCCAAAAAAAGAGGCAATAAGCACCGCATCACTAGTCAGAAGAGGTAAAACGATTAGAACTTTAAAAATTCCGCAACATGAGCCACTACATTATCTTATAATAGAGGCCATTGTAGTCCTAGCTGAAAGAACAAAAATATGAAAGCTTATATACTCAGATTTGATCATATTTGGGCACCCATCCCCAACTCAAATGTCTAGCTTTCCCCTAATGGTCGAAGAACGGATCAGTGACTCACACAAGAGCCTGCTGTGCCCTTTTCCGAGAGCGAATTCTTTGCACAACTGTCTGCAACCGATTCTGCTGGCGATACAGAGACAATCCAGAAAAAATAATCTCATTTATAGCTGTTTCACTGCTTGCAGGTTCAAGGTCACTGAGTAATGGGGCTGTCTCTAGTGAGAAACCAATCCCTGCCAAATGCTGGGCCCACTTATATCGACTTGAAGTTCTCCTTTCATCAAATGCAAGGGAGAACAAACGTCCTGGTGAGGCAGCTCAGTCCCAATGTCACTGGGAAACAAGTTGCACAAAATGTTATTTTCTGGTCCTTCAAGCGATCCTTCAACCCCAACACATACAACATTCAACTTTAGCAAGTATTCAAACTTCAAAGTGAGGAGCTTTGCAGATTTTGTGATTAGAAACCTCATCATCAAATATATGGAGAATAATCTAGAGTTGATGAGCTTGATACAATCCTGCTTGATCAACGCCCTCTTTGCTTTGAACCCTCTTTCTCCTCCTTGGAACATCATCTTCCTCGTCAGGTGCAGCATCCACCAACCTGGAAGTCTCTTCATTGGTGGATATAACTGGTCTATTCAACAAACATCACTTTAGTGCTCTCCGACCATGTTAAATCACAGACGCAGATTTTGCAAAGCACATACCGCTGTCCTTATTTCCTCGCTGGCGAGTTGAAGCTTTGGCTTCTTTAACATTTCCCACCAGCACCAAATCAATACATTCTCCGAAAGCTTCCTTTTGCGCCAACAACTGCGAGTAAATCACATTAAGTGAAGGCGGAAGCAGCTCCGCTGAGTTGTGCTGCTTTAATTTCTTCGTATGAAGAACTCCTAATTGATTCTGTACAGGCAATAAAGCATGCAAAAACTCAACTCCTCTCGTACATCAAATTATACAGCTGTCGTAAAATACACTGGAGCTTTTGCCTTTTCTGTCTAATTTTTTTATATTAATATATTAAAACAGTTAAAAAATATAGAAAAATATTTTTAATAACAAAATATTTATTTTAAAAAAAAAGGGTTTAAACCGCCTTTCTATCTACTGCTTCCATTTACAGCTTTGTAAACGGTTTGGTAAAATCTTTTATTTTAAAATATATTAAAATAATTTTTTATAACTTTTTTTATTTTTAATTATATTAAAAAATAAAAAATAGTTAAAAAATAATTTGAATCGACCTATTGACCAAAAAGAAAGAAAACAAGTACACAGAACTCATAGATTTTAATGTCAATTTGAATAATAATTTTAATTAAATATATATTTTAATTCAACTAGCAATAATTAAATTTTTTTTTTTTAAATCATAATTCAATAATTAATTCAACTAGCAATAATTAAATTTTTTAAAAAAAAATCATAATTCAATATCCGCAAAACTGACTGCTATGTTTTTTTTGTCTTATATGAATGGTAGATGTATTCTTCTTCTTCTTGTCTTTTTTTTTTTTTCTTTTTCTCTAAACCGTTTTTTTTTTTTTCTTACTATACTTTTCACTCTCTCCTGCTTTCCCAATCATGCATCTCTTAACGGTAAAAATTGCACATCACAGCGAATTATTTCTCCCACAGAGAATCTTATCCCTTACATTTTGGCCTCAGCTCGAATATACACGGTCGATACATGCTCTCATTGATAGAAAACAAACATGTGATCGAAAGTCATCGTTGCCCAGAACGTATTGAATAAGATAATAAATAAGATGGCCCCCACAGTCATTTCACTCCGAGTCAAATTTCAAGTTTCCAGTAAAAGGCAATGAATGTTATGACGAAGACCCTACAACCACAACATTGATAAAAACAAGTAAGAAACCGCATTGATAGCTTGCTCACGAACGCGCGGTGAAAATTATTTTTCATTTAAAAATATATTAAAATAATTTATTTTTTATTTTTATATTAAAATATTAAAATAATCCAGAAAATATAAAAAAATAATTTAAAGCTAATACTTTTTTTTGAAAAATAGTTAGACCTAAAAAAAAAACACAATCTAACACTTATAACAACATTAACAA